AGAAAACTTACTGTGACACCGCTGAAGGTCTCTTGAATTTGTGTCGAATCGTTTGGAAAGGACAACGATTTTAGAATATTAATTAAATAATGCTATTCTAACACGCAACAAGTTCCACGTTATACTCCCGTTAGCCGCGCATTTATTAACTTTAATTGTCGTTACATGTTGTTAGACACCATCTTGTTAGACAACATTTAAAATGCTGTTACGGATTTTTTTATATTAAAAACAGTTTCTATAAATAACCGCTTTACATGAGGCTCGCCAGAATAGGGAAATACCAACACAGAAGAAAGCACATTGCTCGTTGTGCATATGTATAGAATGAAACGTAGCCGACGTAAACGAGAGATTTAAGTTCAATTAAAACTGTATTACAATGTACAGGTATATTGCACACCTTAAGCAGTCTCGTCGACTCGCAGTATATTTTGTATTTGTTTCTTACCAGAATAATTAGCTTCAGTTCGATTACCGAGATACTATCGATACAGAACATCTTTGCGTGCCGATCTTTATTTTCCATTTACTTGGTTTACCATTAAATCAGATTAGATTGCTATTTAAGGGAGGGAGTGTGCTCATTATTTTTCATTTTAGTTCTTCGTGAATCGGGCTATATTAACACGTGATTTATAACTTCAATTTAATCTTTAACGGTTTTTGCGGTACACTTGAAAGATTACTTTATGAAATATGACATTAATGCGAGCACTTTCACTAGAAATACAGTACCACAATTTTATTTAAATAATCTTTATTATATTATGAGTGTTCTAGTGTGTTATATGAAATAATGCACGTTAATTGACTGAACTTTGCCGCAGAAGATAATTCTTTGTTTTTAAAAATGTCGATAAATATGCCGATATTTCGTTAATACCTCATTGCTCACATGGAAGAATATTATTTGTATTTAAAATTGAGAAATTGGAAATGATATTTATAAATCAAACAGTAATGGCACCATAAATGGTCTTAATGGCGTATACAGACAGACAATAATAACAGATATAAAGTTTCATTTCTTAGGCCTGGTTGCACCAACGTCGCTTAGATTTAACTTTAGCTTCTAAGGGAAACATTTGGAAAGCGACGAAGAGTGAATTAAGCTATAACGGTTAAAATTACGTGACGTTGGTGAAACCGGGCCTTAGTTATTTTTAATTAAACGTTACTTTATTAATAAAAGTAATAAAAGTTTAATGGTCATGTTATTTGTTGAAAAGCTAGGTCCCAGTGAGAAATGATTCGTCGATCGACGTCGAAATGATGTCGAATCGACGTCAATTCGACGGTGTCGATGTCGATTCGACGTCGATCGACGAATTATTTCTCACTGGGGTAATGCTATTTAATACATACATAAATGTATAATTAAAATATGTAAACTTCAACTATATATATATAGAGCATATAATAGTTCAACGTATATGAAATTCATACATAAATAATAAGATGTAGAAAATTCTACTGCACAAAATCGATCTTAAATTGACTGAGAATTCTGCAATAAAATATAGATATGTGACTTTTATTATTTTTTTCTAATGGCCATTTGAGATAACTTGGTTAAGCGTGTTACCGCATAACCGAAAAGTGAATTCAAATTTAAAGCGGATTATAAATACATTATTTATTAATGAAGGCTAGATTAGAATCCGGCGTACAGTTAAGAAGCTAGAACTTTGCGTTGCGACTTCATGATTACATTTGAAAAATTTTAAATCGATTTTAAACATCCGTAGATATACATGTTTTACAAACGCGTAAATGCATTAGTTTATTAGTTTAATCTATATCTGTTGCAAACTCGAATGAATATTCAAAAATATTTGAAAAAAATGAAAGTTATTTTTACATACAAACTTTTTCAAGCTTTATTTGTATTATTTTATCCGTGGACCTTTTAACTAATTTTTAATAAAAATTTGTAGAGTATATCTCTCTATCGATTATATTCATCTATTTTTTAACAATTTAAATTTCGCTACGTAACGACTTTCGATTAGCAGAAAACTGTGAATCAAAAGTTCATATCTTTCCGTATAATAATTTCAAAAATAGGTCAGCTAAAATTTTCATAAAGAATATAAGAGCCAAGACAGGGTGTTAGCGTCGAAATGATTTAAATTTTTTAATTTATTGCAAAAAATTCACCTCAGCCAGGGTTTGAACCTGACCTCCCTCTTACTAGGCGGGCGTCTTATCAATTTGACCAACGAGGCATGTGGTAATATTTATCGCAATAAATAGTCTTTTAAAGAACCACATGCCTCGGTGGTCGAATTGGTGAGACGCCTGCCTAATAAGAGGGAGGTTCAAACCCTGGCTGAGATAAATTTTTCGCAATAAATTTAAAAATTAAAATCATTTCGACACCAACATCCTGTCTTGGGCTCTTATATCCTTTATTACTTCGTATTTGTGATTTCACGTCAGAGCCTTTTAAATTTTATTTGTTGAATTTATTGCGTTTCTATTGTATTATAAATCATATAGCAAAACCTTTAACATATAGCGTGCTGCTTAAAAACACATACATTCTAATAAAATTACAAATTTATTGCGCGCTTTTTTAGTGTACAGGAGAAATTTATTATTTACAAATAGCGCGTGACGTAAATAGCTACACGAATTAAATGTCCGCTGTCGTTTTCAGCACTTTTAAATGTAGAAATCTTTCGAGTATATGAAATTGATATCTGTGAGTTTCAAAATCTTGATTTAGCAACTTCTTTTACGGCAAAATTCATGAAAACATAGCGGATGTTAGTGAATATATAATAACTTTCTTGCATTTGGAAGTACAAATCTTCTTTTATGAAGAAGAAAGAAATCTAGGTTAAAATAGAGATCGTACGATCGAGTCTCACTTCTCGCACAAGTTTCATATAAAAATGGTGAATTTTATATACATGTATTTCATTTCTGTATTTGCGTAAATTTAATGATAATAATATATTCATTGAACAGTACAGTGTTGGACAGAATGATTGCGACACTTTCTTTAGTGAGTTTAGAAACGCGCATTTAGATTCAGGTTTGCGTTTCAAAACATTTTCTCTGAGGAAAATTTTGCTTCAGAAATAGATTGAAAATGCTCAAAATAGTTTCCGAATGGCCATCGAGTAAAATATTCAGTTAAGAGATCTATTAGATAATAATAAATTAACATATAATACATGAAGAGAGACACCTAGTATCTTTATACTACGTATCGGGCGATTAGTATTCATAATGTGATTTATTTGTGAAATTAGCGCTTTACTATGATAGCGACATTTGGTTTGTCAAATGAGCAAGATTAAGAGATCGCTTTACTGCACGGCTATATTCCTAAATGAGCAACGGTGACTGACGATGCATGAGGGCACTCATTGTACTGACAGACGTGCGCAATGTACCTGATCTTGTAAACGACCGCTTGTCGCGGATCATGAATCGAGCAATTCGCAATAATTGACAGATCTTATTCATCTCTCTCTTCGACGAGGTACTGTACGATGAGACTTATACAAAGTTTAATAAAGCTCACTCTTGAATATGCGCGCGCGAATGAACTTCGATATAATTAATGTAGCTCGTTACTCCGATGAAAAATAGGATGTAGTCGTAGTTTTAACAATTAGCAAAGGAATTTTTTTTAAAGGAAAAACATGAATGCGCATTTGGAACGATATTGTTTTCTAATAATGTGCTCTGCCATTTTTAATGTGAGCATTTTATATTGAGTTACAACGGTGCAATTATTGAATATAACATTTCTGAGATTATTACGTTTGCACAGGATAACAGCAAACCAAGATTACAAAGTTCAAATTCTGATATAGCTTTAATGTGACAGAACGTGTAAAGAAAAAATACGATAATCGTAGTCTGAAATTACTTTTTTGGTGAATATTAAAGCTTGTGTATTGAGGAAAGAAAAATAGATCGCAAAAGGTCATGAAAGAATTATAAACGACTGGTTGTGCCGTTAACTATTAATAACTCATTTATCGCGGCTCTTCGGATTTCGAAATGTTTCCGAAAATCCGATAGAATAAAATATTTGACGTAAAATTGAATATGCAAATATCGCATAGGACAACATCGATTTTGTTAGGTGAGAGAAATACTTGAGTACACATTAAATTCCGGACTATAGCGACGTGATGATGCACGTACCGTGCTATAAACTGTTGCTAACTTACTTCGTATCATCACGCGTAGTTTCGTAAGTATACTACCCCGTCTCGAAAATTTTCTTTGAAGTAGTAATTGGCTTGCTTATTAATGGCCTCTTAGAAGTTTCTAAGCTTGATGAGCGGGCCGTCTATAAAGCTGAGCTTAATGAAAGGAATTTTGTTATTTATTGTACAAACAATCTTGTCACTTTCACAAAAACGTTTATCTCATTATCGTAATAAATTTCACTGCAAATATTTTGAGGATCGATATGAGGGAATCAGTAAAAAATGGTTATACGGATCTATATTAATTGATCCAATGATGAGTCCTTATAATAGATACTGTGAAATCGTTCTTTTTCGTCAGAAGAGAAATAAATTTACTCGCTCGCCTGCATTTCGAATCTTCGAAACTGTTACGTAGAGACGCAGCAGAAACGATTGTCCGACAATGAGTCTTTCCAGCTTGACTTCCAAGAAGAATTACTTGGTAAACGTCTAGTCGCATTTTCTCAATTTTATTGCGGCGCAATGATGTAACGGCGCGCGAGGATTTCGAATGGTCTTACTCTTTCAAAATCGAGAGCGCACGAGAACATTGTAGAATTATAAAGCGGCCAGGCTTAGTCCTCGCTTGACCCGCTTACGTTAACTCGCGCTATTCACTGCCGAGTTTCTCGAGTACTTTGCAAACTTCGGCGCGCACGTAGGTGGGCTGTAAGTATAAGTACTAGTAAGTAAGTAAGAGTATGTATACCGCCGTTTATACGTAGAGCGTTCGCGCGATAGCGTGATACTTAAGTCGAGGACGTTCACGTGTTACAGATTTACCCAGATTTGGCCAACCGTTGAGCAACCTCACAGTCTCGGTGGGTCGCGAAGCCGTTTTCACCTGTACCGTCGAGGGTCTCGGACCATACAAGGTGAGACGTAACATTATAGCCCCGGCTATCCTATTTCCACGCGCGATTGCAACCATACATTCCACTGTGCTGCCGTCGCAATTGCACGCCGCGTTGCGCGCGCTGATGTCTCCCCGTATATGATTGGGGCTGGTTTTGACATTAGACCGTGGAAATTTCACCGGGCACCCGTGACAAATTGTAACGCGATATCATCTGTCGAATCTTGAAACTCTCCTCCTTTTAATCGATATAACTTTTATCGATTCGGTTCTATAAGAACTCTATCGCAGAGTCAACGCGTGTTCACTGGTTACTTGGACTTTTCATTAATTCCATTTGTAAGGGAAGAAGACAATTTGTAACTCTCACCCCAAATCAATTTTATTGCAATTCGCAATTTACATAGGTTTAATGTGGGCGGTTTTCATTTCCCTATTTGGTCAACCCCGTAAATATGAGATGAAAATCAGATAGCGGGAGTTTGCAGCAAGTTCACTGTGCTAATACAGATCCTTATCTCTAAATTACGAAATCACGCCGGTTACTCTCACGCCGGCACATAGATACGGTATAATTTGCGATTTAGAAAATTGGTGCTAAGACGCTTTGAGCGGCGCGGCGACGTCATTACTGAACTACGTTCGCAAAGTTCTACAGGGACGGGGAAGTTAACAGACAGGACAAATAAATTCAAGGCATAGGATTGGAGCGCGAGGATCACGGTGCATATCTGGGCAACTCCATTTAAGTAGAAATAAAATCCCGTGGGGTGTGAGTTCAGCAGTTTGTTAAGCGGCTCCTCTCTGCCCCTCCCCCCCCTCTCTCTCTCTCTCTCTCTGTCTCTGTCTCTCTCACCCACCGTCTTTCGGCCAATCGTTTCTCTATCCCTCGTCATCTCTCGCCCCTCGTTTTCTACTTGTATCCTACTCTCTCGGCGAGAGATCGGAGGCTTCTCTCGTGGAAATACCCTCTTCGATTCTCCTCTCTTACCAGAGCCGGTACCGCGTATGGAGGAGTTATAGTTTTATAGATAACGCCAACCTCGCGACCGTGGAAATGTTTTCGCGATAAAAATGCGCGAAATTGTTTTATGGCATCGTGGGAATATGTATGCGCGTATGCGCGTGTATACGTGCGCGTACGTGCAGGTGCGTTCGATCGCGCACGTTCGAACGGAATCGATGCATTATCCTTACGGTTGGTCAACGGCACCTCTGCGGAAATGAAAACGGCGAGTCACATTGGCCGCCGCGGTACTCGCGAAAAGCGTTTGGCGAAAATAATAAAAAGCGCGTGCCACTTTGCTCGGACGGGACACAAAGGGGCCGCGCTTTCGATAATCGATGCCGACGACGGCCGCCGCGGAATTAACGCTTTTTAACGTAACTTCGTTTTAGCACACGGCACTCGCACACGGCGCGGTCATAACCGATACCGCGTGATTGGTTCTTTGCGCCGGCGGTATCGCAAATCCTTTCGCATCGTTAATAATAAGTTATTAATTTTCCCCGATAGGACACGCGATTAAGCGGAGTGCGGACTCGCAGCATTATTGTCTTGACAAACGTAAATATATCCTCAAATAATAACGATGCGAAGAGAACGTACGATAGCGTAACGACGATGCTGACATCGAGTAGTTTATTTATATTTCAAGTTGCAACATGAGTAATGGTGGATTTTATGTACAGTGACTCCTGAGAGAGGGAAGGAACTTCTCAGATATTCTCCGGTGCTTTGAAATAATAAAGCGTCTTATTACGACTCGTAAGGTGTTACGACTCGCGCCGCGTTATGTAGTACATGACGGCACCAATTCTGCTAATTAGCAACAAACATGTCACTTATACGTTATGTCTTGTACTTCTTCGTATCATTGTCGTTCCAGTAGTTGTTATTTATGCACTAACCACATTTCCGGTATCAGCTAATGAATACATTACTTTAGGAATTGAGAATTGGAAAATATTTTGTTTTCGAAATACGCTTTTGAAAACGAGATAAAGGACCGATATAAGTAATTGAAGAATTTAATAATTTGTCATTACGTTAACTTGTTAATATATAAAACTAATTAAAAAATACAATTAATATATTAAATTAATTGTTAAAAGTTAAAATATAAAGTTAAAAGTAATTTATATATATTTCAAGTTATATTAAAAGTTAAAATATAAAAAGTTATATGTTTGCAACATAATAAGTATTTGTATATATAATTGTTCTTAAAGACAATTACAAGATAAATTGTGTAATTTCAGAATTGTGTTGAAATGTTTGTATCAGATACGATTATGCTATTTTACACAAAATTATTAAATGACAGTTAAATCTTGACATAAACGTACTGTACAAATATGGATGTGTCGGCTAGTTGATTATAATTAAAAAATTGTTGGAAACTTTACTCAGAGATTTGATATTTCAGGATTAATTAATGCACACAACTTGTCAGTGATCCATTATATTTGCTGTAACTTACCGTGCAGTCTACATGGCACACGTTACTGAGAACTCTAATTTTTCTTTAATCTTTGCTTAAATAGTATTGATTAATTAAAAATCTTAGATAAAAGAGACTTCTAATTAATATGTTAAATAGTATTATAAATTAAATGTACCAGCAATTTCCGTTTAAAATATTTTTAATCAATTTTTACGTAACACTGGTTTACTTATTTATGAAAAGTTATATAAACTTTATTATCCCTTTCTAACAAAGAGATATTACCGGCTTGAATGTTGTTAATGTTATATAGTTGAGACCTCTTTTCCGTGATGCTGATTGGTTTTCTCGAAGTGCGATGTGCTTTACTTTTCTTTTAGATTCATGTCATGCTTCAGCTCGCATGTGAATTTTGACAGTTGTGCAAAAATGTACTTACAGAAAGTTAGGAACTAAACAAAAAGTGTAAGAAAAAGATGTTAAAATTAAATATCTAATTGAGCGAAGGAGAATGAAAGAAATTCTTCTAATGAGATACAACGATAACTAACCTTCTTTTTAAAAAGTTATATAAGAGTTTTAATTATTAACGTTATTCGGCGATGCTAATTTTCTCGCTTGGCTTTCTGCTGCGAGTAGCTGTCAGTGCGGAGATAATGTAATATGTATTTTGACAGAGTGTGAACGTCAGATTACGTCTTCACATGAAAAAAATTTTAATATGTGAAAATCATAAATAAATATAAATTAAAATTGAATAGCGTGCGCAATGCTATTTCGAATAAAGTATTTAATACCAATTTATATAATTATTAAAGTAAACAATTCGATAATTTTTGCTCATAATGAAGATATGTAATTTAGTAATATACATTTGTATGCATCAACTATTGAGGTAAAATCTCTAATCTTAGTAATTAGAATTTAAGTAACAACAATTTTTGTTTCGAAACATTTTCTCGATTAAACAGAATTAATCGTTAATTTAATCAATACCAATAAGTCCGCGGAATAATACGCAAAACGTAGCAACAGTCACGGAACAAAGTAATGTACAATAAAATATTAAGTACGGAATCCATTGCGTAGGCAGGCCAACGAATTCTCAACGTTTATTTGTTGTTTTTCACTCGGCGCGGTATCGTACGACGATTAGGCGGGCCAACGAATTCTCAATGTTTTTTTGTTGTTTTTCACTCGGCGCGGTGACGTACGATGTTTTTGCGTGCCATCGTGTAGCTGAAGGTCGCCGAGCTCTCATTCGCTCGCCGAACGTCGGGCCGGCAGGCAGCAGCGAGAGTCGCTCCGTGTGTCGTATTACTTTTGCGTTATCGATTTCCAAGACACGATCGCGATGAATGTGAAGATAAAACGCTATTGATTTGTACACGTTTAATATTAATAAATAACGTTCATCGACTAAATATTATATCAACGTAGATTTCACGAGACTAACTCATCTAATTGTAAAATATGAATGTAAACTGTGGTAATTTGTCCCGATTACATCTCGTTTACGCACCGTGCTTTTAAATTATCTGTCGATTTCGTATAATTTGTTTCATTTTCGGGAAAAGAGGAAGAAATTTGTACGGCTGTCGCATTCGCGCTGTAATTCGCTCTGTCGTTTTTCGCCAATTCAAAAGTGATTTATCCGTTCTGCCGAAACAAAAATGCAAGTTGTTAGTTTGTATAATTTGTACGACAATCACGAGATATCTGTTAATAAGATTTCGTGCGTTTTGCGGTATTTCACATCGCGTACGGGAGTGCCCGAAATTTCGCGCGATCGATGATTTTTGCGAGTGAGTGTTGTGTGAGTGCAACAAGGAAATCTGAGAGGAAGAGGAGGAGGCTTGGGAAGTATCGGGCAACGGCGGAGCAAGGGGTGAGGTGAGTGTTTTACATTTTTATAATATTTATAAAATTCTGTGAGTTTATATTTAAAAGGAAGACTATTTTTTCGTATTCTATAATTATTTTAATAAATAGCTATTTTAAAAAATATAAAATAAATATATTTAATAAAATAATTTCGATTTTACATAATTATTGTATAATAATCATATACATATTTGTATTTTTACAGTTGAACGTATATAGTTAACAATGTACAACTCTGGTCTTGCGAATCGTATCAGTGAGTTATAAATTACTTAATATTTTAAATTGACGTTGCGCATACAATACCTTTTTTGCATGTATACAAATTCTTGGAAATATACAATGCTTAACTACAAACTGCGCGCGCGAAGCGCGCGTTTTGTCATTTCTAGTAATTTATAAAAATTACAAATTGAAAGTGCTTTATTAATTAAACATTTCATTGAAAAATTAACAGGATAAGTTCGATTATTCTTTTTCCGTAAGAAGTAATATATCTTTGCCCAAATCTTATCAGAAAATAAGATTCGCCTGATGTGCATGTAGCTATAACATTTTCATTTCTACCTTATGAAGTGCGGAAATAAGCGTGCTTCAGAAATAAAACGATTTATGTATTATCCGGACTCGCCGGCAAATTTTAAAATTTTATTAAAGGACCGAAATTACTTCCTGCGGAAGTGGGAAC